TTTTTAACTGTCTAAAAGATAAATCTAATTCCCATTTCTACCAATGTAATTCAATTCTATAATCTTTTGGTTCAACGAACTCTTCTTTTTCTTATTTTAAAAATTAGAAAAAATGAAGAGCAAGAAAGTTAAAAGTTGATCTACATCGATAGAAACATAAGAGGGTCTTATGTACTGATTTTGAACTTCCTGAGATTACATCAATATTATAATTTTTTATTCAATAATATAATGTATATAATATAACACACGTTACGTACATTGTTGAGTAGGAAATTATTACATACCCAGCAAATATTAACAACAATAATATAACTGTTATCTGTCAGTTACAATGTTCTACTCTATAGTACGTTATTATAATTTAACATATAATAGTTGCATAATATGTAACAGTTATATTTTTGAGGGAAATTATAACTAAAGTCATACTATTGTAATTTTAGTTAGGGTTTGCTGGATAATATTAATTATGTTACTTAATTAGTTTACTGGATATATCAACTATTATAAATAAATCGCCTATATTCAATATCGATATTATAAAAAATAATAAAAATTTATAATTTTTTTAATATAAAACTATTCTTCCAATTTTTTTTTAAATATGTATAGAATTTGTGAAAAATTCTTCCCTACGTATACGTAACGAAAAGCTTGCGTTTATAGTTTACATAACTTTTTTACTCGCTTTTGTGTTATACTTTTTTCCGCGTTTCTTCAATTATTTTTCTAATAGTCAAACAACAACTTAAACTTAATAAAACTTATCTAATTTCTCACCTAATTATTCTATTTATGGAGATATTGAAATAAATTAAGCGAGAATAGAATCTTTATTTCAATCACTCACACACACACACACAAACGAAATATCTCTTCTACGTAGAATATTTATAAATAAACGAAAAAAAAATTTTAATTCTGACATTGGACCTTATTATTTGAATATAATGAAGCCCAAATGAAAAAATAAAATAAAAATGACAAAAAGAAAAAAATAAATTTAAAATGACAAAAATCATAAAAAGAAAATCCCTTAGGAATTTAGTCTACTCTTAAACATCATAGTTATCTTTAATTTGGTCTGTAATTAATTTTTTTATTGTTTGAAATTTCTGCAATTTGAATGAAATTTTAACTCTTTAATAATTAGCAGCATCGGAAATCATTATTTTTTAATATATATGCTCCACACATAACAAACAAATAATAATAGCCGTAATAATAATTTATACATATAAATGAGTCTTATTTAATAAAAGTTCACTATTTTCTAGAAAAATATACTTATTTATATTTAAAGAAATCGATTTATTTATTATTTCTCTATAGCTAAAAAATTGAATATAATATTACGATATATTATAATAATCAAAATAATGTATGCTAAGTGAACTTTGCAAACTTTGTGAATTGTTATAAAAATGTCTCATACACACTTTGTCATAAGTATTTGTTGCATTAAACATACGTGTTGCTGCAATTCTTTTTTTACGACACATCTTTTAAGCATATACTCTAGGCGTAAAGCGCATTTTTAAGTAATAAATTTAAAAGTGGGTTTTATTTAGTACTTTGGTACCTTATTCGACTTAAGGTACCTTATTAAATTAGTTTCATAAACAAATATTTAATTTTATATTAGATCCATTATTATTATTATTATTATTATATTATTAAAATGAAAATGCTTCTACAGCATAGAATATTTTAGCAATATTACAACATTTGAGCTGTATTGTAGAAACATTGAAACGAATATTCTTTATTATATGAATTGATTGACCTACCAATTTTCGTTAGCCGCTATAAATATAGCGTGATTCGTGCTTTACAACGCATCATCAGACATGACTTGACAGAGTACGAGATGTCCTCATTCAATCGACACAAATTAAAAGTAACATAACATCGATGTCATAATTTTGCACTCAACAATATAACAATTACATTGTTAAATGCGAAATTATAACATTGTTGCGTTACTTTCAGTTGATGTTGACTGGGCATATAGCGCAGAATATTTTAATAATGTTGTAATAAAATATTGTAACGTTCCTGCGATGTAATAGTCCTGGAATAGTCTAATATTGCTTTAAAGTTGCTACTGTAGATATTTTATAGATATTCTGTCCTATACGAATTACGTATGATGTATACTAAATATGATGTATACTAATATTAAATCGATTACTAAATCGATTGTAGGCGACACTTATAATTAGTAATAGTAATTTTAGAAACAAATGTGACATTGATTGATTTGGTGATGCAAGAATATATCTTATATATCTTATTGATCCCTTAACTTCTTACACATGAGATATTCCGCTATTGCGTACTTTTTATTATCAAACATGATAATAGTAAGTAAAATTTTATTTAAAATTTTTTTTTTAAAACAATAATTACTAGATATATAAGTTTTTATAAAAAATTTGAAATTTACATAATACATATTTGTAACATCATTGATTATAAACACAATAAAAAAATAAAATTAGTTGCTTAGTATAAACATCAACTGCGCAGCGTAAATAATTGAGCGATCGATATCTGCATGTGTAATTATATTACTCTGAGAGTGCAAACTCTACTCGCTAACTTTAATCACTTATAATGCTGAAATTATCGTGACTTTGATATTTTCGTGTGTTAAGACTTTTGACTTTAATCTTTAGAATGTTTGCAAATGTGTACTGTTACGTAAAATATCAAATAAAAAATAAATATTAAAATTGTTTTAACTGCGTATTTGATATTTAACAGTACACATTTGCAAACATGCTTCTGTCACGAAATATAAAATTATGAAACTTTTCTTTTACATAATGTAATTATCTTAAAGATCTTATGCAAAAATTGATAAAAACATATAATATTTTTATCACGATCGAAATGTAGCCACCCAAGCAGAACAAGTCAAAATGACATTAAAATGAATCGGAAATGATTAAAAAATGATTTTTAATGGTCATTTTCAAATCATTTGGACATCATTCTAATATTATAATGACTTGTTGCTCTGCTTGGGCAGGTCCTAGCTGAGATAATATTTTTCACAATAAATTATTTGCAGTCTTTAAAGATAATTATTATTATCAATGTAATTAAATTATTTGTAAATTTAATTTATGATATTACAATTTTAATTTTAGTTTGAGTTTTATTTCAAGATAAAAAATTAAATCCAGGCGCAATTTAAATAGAATT